AGAAGTAGTTTGTGGTTTCTTATTATATTAACTATCCCCAAGCTCCCATAAGGGAAAATAAATTCAGTTCTGAAGTTTACAACACTTAGAAATAAATCACACAGCTGGTTGTTTATAATTTCTTTTGATATTCCTTTCATTTTGGAAATTATTTTTGTGTTAAATTATATGTGTTTGGTAAATTTAGGATTAGCAAATATTTTAAGTAATGGCAAACTATTTGGATGAGAAATCCTTTTTTTTTTATTGAATGTATTATTAATTTTGTTTTCAAACAACACAAATGAAATAAATAACTTATTTGTTGAAAGCAAACTGTATTTATTAGAATATCATTTGGGAAAAGTGGTGATACAATGGTAATGATGGTGCCATCTTGAAAGATTGCCAAAAAAATGTTTTCTGTGATTTATAGACAAAAATGGTGACTACTTAAGTGATCAAAATACAATATCAAAAAAAGTTGAAACTTAATGGAAATATAAAATGGAACTTCCTAAGTATAAGAAATGTTTTAAATTTTTAACATGAAAATAAAGTATTTTTAATAATGTTTCAAAAACAGTCTTAAAACAAAATTTTGGAAACTTCACAATCTGAAAAATGATAGAAATGTGAAATTTATTTTTTAAACATAAACTGGGTAGAAAATTTATACTAAGTTTTGTGCAAATTGGTTAAATATTTCCACAGTGAAAAGAAAATATCAGAGGATATCATTGGCACACACACCCTGGTCCTTAAAGGACTAATTAGATTTAAAATCTAAGATGTGTAAAAGTGTAATTTCAGATCTCTATCTTGTCTATGTCAAATTGTTGGCCAGAAAATTTTTTGTTTTGTTTAATTTCAAAATTGTCAGCTATGTTTTACTTGGGAAAGCCAAAATAGTTCTGGAAATACTAATTATATGCAGTTCAAAAAACTTCATCTGGTGATAGTATTCGATTACTGATATAAAACATTGGTCTTCTGTCATTGGACTAATTAAAATTGAAAACAAAGAAGCCAGCAAATAAAATAATGAATATCTTCTTGAAACTTGCTACAAAATAAATTGCATTGGTGAATTAGATGAAAGATACCTTCGTTGATATTACATAATATTTGTGTTTCAGCCACAGATGTTGTTACAGTTTATGTATTCCAAGAACCTTCTCTTCTATCTTCACTTCAAGACAGTGGACTGACAGATGTGGTGCTTCATGCACTGTTGGTCAAAGAGGTTGGTGGAAATGTTATTGGAACTTAAGATTCATGTACTGATTTTCTTTTGTTGTTGTTGTTGTTGATTAAGTTTAAATATAATAATTAAAACACAATAATTGATTTTTTAATTTTTCCGCTCGTCTTAGATTAGTTTAATTTTTTACTAAAGATTTTTGGATCTCACATTTTTAGTACTTCACATTTTCATGATGGATCACTTCTGTATATAAATTAAGATCTATTATTTGTTTATTAATCAGGTATATTTTCTTGAAGTTTGTATTTTATTCTTGAAGGTTCCTGCCACAAGAGAGGTCCTGGCTTCATTACCTAATGTTTTCAGTGCCCTGTGTTTGAATACACGAGGACTTCAAGCCTTTGTTGCTTGTAAGCCATTTGAAAGACTGTTCAAGGTACTTTTATCTCCTGACTACCTTCCAGCCATGAAAAGAAGACGAAGCTCAGATCCTATGGGTGATACTGCTAGCAATCTTGGAAATGCTATGGATGAGTTGATGAGACATCAACCAAGCCTAAGAGCTGATGCTACAGCTGCAATTATTAAGGTAAGATGGTTTTTGATAAAGGTAGATAGTTGTGTAGGCTTTGGAGAGTATCTGAGTAATACATTTGACTGTTGAGTCTCATTGGTTAATTTGTAAAGTTGTAATATAAATGGTTTGAGGTTCAATTAGAATACCCCAATAATGGCATAAAAACCTAAAAAATCATTGTCAAGTGTTTGATCAATAGTCATTTCTATTTTTCTTTGTCTCATGTTTTAAAAGAAATTATCATATTCAACTCACAAAATGATCAATGCACTGTGAAAACCAAACATTGCCTGTAAATAAACATTTTTGTGTTAGGCACTTATGTTGTCCTGAAAAATATATATTAAAGTGGATTTCATAATGTAGACTTATAAACATTTTACATGTAATTATGTTGTCATGTTTGCCTTACAAATATTTAAGGTATTTAGCAATATGATCATCATAACTTCAGTAACAAAGACTATTTTACCTTACAATACTAGTTTATATCTAGATTTGAAAAGATACTTAACTTCTTAACTTGTTTCATTGTATTTTTTAGACTAAACCTGTTATATCCATTTTAATTTTTTTTTCAGCACTTGATGTTCATACTTCAACCAAGTTTTGTAGGGCTACAGTGATATGTCATTGATTATTACTTTGAACACATTTAAATTAGAATTATCTTGTTTTGTCTATTGTTAGTCCCTTAATATAATGGTATAATGTCAAAGTACTTGTTTATTGATAGACTATTATTATCATCAAAGATTTAAAGATTGGGTTCAGCTGAATGTATATGGAATCATAATGCACTTTCACTGTAAACAGTACGGATGTAAAAGTAGCAGCCCTTAAGAAGCCATTTCAAATTTTATCTGGAAACGTTTCCAAAAGTATTAAGCATTTTCTTTCTATTATACATTCTAGCCTCCATTGTAGATGTTAAATGGAAATTTTCTGTTTTTTATTAGCTACTGGAAGAATTGTGTGCTATGGGACGTGATCCAAGATATGTCTGTTCACGGCCAGCTATAAAGAATGAAACTGCTACAACGAGTGGATTCCGAACCAGCACAGTCTCTACTGAAGCAGGCTCATCAGATGAAGAAGAAGATGACGATGAAGAAACTGGTGGTCATACTGTAACAGGAACATTAAAACCAGGGGCTGAAAAGCAGATTACTCCAGAAATTTCAACAGGATCAGAGACTAAGATTCCAATCCCATTAGTTGACTATATTCTTAATGTTGTAAGTATAACTATTCTTACAAGTTTTTTTTCTATTTGATAGACAATGTCTAATCAAGAAACACAAATATCTTAATGTGTTCCCTCATTTGAAGAAACTAAAGATTTGCAATGACAGCATGAACAAAATCACCAATTATCAAACAAAAACTGCATAACACTTAAAAGAAATCATTTTTATTACTGAAGAAAAAGATATTATAAAACTTTTTACTGTAATTTAAAGGTGTTCTATACAATTTTTTATCCTTAATTAGTGTTTGCTGTGAAAAGCAAATTAGGAATGTTTAAAATGTTTTTTGCCAAGTTTGAAAAAAAAAACAAAGCAGCCAATGTTAGATAAATGTGCTATATTTCTAAAATACTGATTGCAAGTTAATATAGATATTTTGTTAATAGACACAATTCATTACTGAATATTTAATGACACTATAGGATATTGTTTAAACCTCTTTATCTTTCTATCCTTTTTATTTCAATGCAAAATCTCATTTAGAGCTAACAAAGAATAGTTACTTGTTAAATTTTATTGTATGATGTTTTAGGTCTTTCAGTTATGAGCTGTGGTTGCTTGAAAATTGTTAAACTTCTTTAACATAATTGTAATTAACTTCCATGTCAACAAAGTTTAACAAAAATGGTTAGGAAAAGATTTGGTGTTATTAAGAATTATATAGTTGTGGATATTTAGAAACCTAAAATGCAGGGTTTGGAGAATTTGGCCTGAAAATAGTGCACATTTGTGTGTCCAAGTGCTATTTTCAAAAATGTATTCTTGGAAATATGGAGATTTAAACAACATGAATAGTTTTTATTTGTTCATTTTAAATTTTAGTTCAATTGCAAATAGTATATTTAAATGTTATTTTCATTTATGTACTTAAGTTGCTGTTTTTTAACTCTGTTAGGTTACTGTAGTTTACTGTAGTAATGCTTTGAGTGAAAGGACATTTTTAATTTATTATTCTACTATTGTATTTTTAGTTTTAGAGTAGAATCAGATACATATTCAAGTTTTAAAAAACTAGTATTTTTTCTTATGTATTTCAACTAACATATTTTATAACCAAGTAATATAATAAAAGATATTGCAAGTAGCCAGATTTATATTTGAGCCTTAAAATACTATTTCAGAGTTATTTGTGATTTTTTATTGCATTTTGGCTATATTAATTTGCTTATTTAGTAATTGGTCATTTTTTCAGATGAGATTTGTTGATGCAATCTTAAGTAACAACTCTACTGATGATCACTGCAGGGAGTTTGTACGACAGAAAGGACTAGTACCATTAATGGGCATTTTGGGGTTGTCAAACCTTCCCGTAGACTTTCCTGTTACTCCAGCATGTCAAGCTGTAGCTAGTGTTTGTAAATCCATTTTGAATCTAGCCCATGAACCACAGGTCTTGAAACAAGGTCTGCTTCACCTCAATGAAGTTTTACAGAGTTTGGAACCATTACATCGCCCACTTGAACCACCAGGAGGCAGTGTTTTACTGGAGGAACTAATCACTGCTCCAAATTTGAATGAAGCGACTGCAAGTCATCAGTCTACACCATTGCTTCATGCCATGGCTGCAGCTCATGCATACATAATAATGTTTGTACATGTTTGTCGGACTGGTCAGGTTAGTACGTATAATTTATAAATGGAGCTTGGCTTACTGGTTACTATGTGGTACTGTAAACTTGAGGGTCCCTGGTTCACATAGTTTTGCCTCACAATTGAACTCCTTACTTTGAGGTAATGAGTGCATTTTAAGAATAATGATTAAATCCCACTTTTTGATTGGAGTAACCAAAAAGTTGGGGATAGTTATATATATATATCGGTTGATCTTGTATAGCCTTGTGAAAATATCTGAAACAAACTTTGATTCAGAAAATTATCTAGTACAACAGGTTATTAAAGAAGATTAAACAAAACTGGAGTTTTGATTGTTTAGATGTGTCGGAAAGTTATGTAATTTCTTTAGTATGTTATTGAAAGTTATGTTTTAAACTTTATGAATTAAATGTAGACATATTTTAACAGTTGTATTGTAAAAGAACACACTCATAGTTAAGAAATAAGTTGCACAAATTACAGGTTTTTTTTGTTATTATTGTTGTTTGAATGTGTGTATATATATATTTTTATAGTTACATTTTTTTAATAGTTTGATCTTTCATAATTTTGTACAGAGTGACATTCGAACCATATCAATAAGCCACTGGGGGTCAGAACTGGGGCTGAGTGTTCTACGAGGTCTTAGTCGTCTTTACACTTCTTTGGTATGGGAAAGCACTGTTCTCTTGGCCTTGTGTAGTGAAAACACACTGCCTGCTAATTGCCAGTTTGGTCGACATCAGCTGGACAGGTTACTTCCTAGGGACTTGACTAAGGTACATGAAAAGTAAATTAATTTCTGAAGAAATAATTCAAGAAAAATTATTGTGATTTTTAACAGCATATGTTTTTTTTGTTAGTTTTTGTGGCTGTTTTGGTTGTGATGCGAGACAGATTTTATGCATATGTATAAAAAAAAATAATGAAGTAAATAACTTATTTTCAAATATATTTAGGAATTTTTTATCTAAAAAAATGTTGGTGTCCTTGTAGCTTTTTTTAACTTTTCTTGGTTCTAAGTAGGCATAACTGTTACTATATTTTTGTATTATTTCCTTGTGTTAAATAAAAAAAGTTAAGTGTCATTATCTTTGTAAAACTATATATTTTCATTGTTTGTACTGTTTTTTAACCCATTGGCTGTTATCCTTAATATTTTCATCAGCAAATATATCCAACATTGAAGCCCTGAAAATTACTATTATTACTTGTAAATTTATCCACTAATGACAAAGACCACAGATAGATTATGTGTATCTCATTAGTAAAATTTTAATTTTTCATTATGTTTATCACAAGGTTAATTATTGGTGTGATTTAATGGCTTGTTAAATATCATACTACTGTTATTAGAATGTTGGATTATTGAAAATTTATGTAATGATCATATGCCATTTAGGTGAGTGTTGGTCAGTTTGAAACTAATTGGAAACGTATCACGTTAAAAAGTACCAATATCATTTGATAGCTAATTAGCTAAAGTACATCTATGCAAAGTGACGTTATATGGACAACTTGCCTATTAACTCTTTCAGCACGGGCTTGGTCCACGGGACTAACCTCGTAACCATTTTGTGCTTGTTATAGTTTTCATGCTATAACTTTTAAATTAGAAGCAAATGTTAATGAAATTTGGCAGATTATCAGTAAACATTACAATGCTTTCATACGCAAAATATCTTAATTTTTTTATTCAGTCTTACAATTTATAAAGCAATGTTTTCTCATGTCTATTTTTTCTTTTCACATTTTGCCTATCTACCATACAAAGTAATATTCATTTTAAAATTAAAAATACTTTTATGCCTCAGAAAATTTTGAAATTTCACATGTAAAATCTTTATAATGTCCAGATAGTTATCAAAAGTTTCTTAAGAAAAACTTTATATTTTATCTGTTATTTTCAGTAATTAATCTCTGTACGGTTTCAGTATATTTGACCGATCTCACAACCATCATAAAAAAAATTAGGAAATAAATATAAATTATGCTTCTTTCATTCTAGAATGAA